GATTCGACTGAATTGTGTTCGTGTTTCAACCTCATGACGGAACATAAGAAATTGCCAACTGTTGCAGAAATCCAAAAATCCAAACGTCCAAAGATTTTTGCAGAACCTTTGGATTCGCATTTGTTTTGTCTTTGTTTGGATTTCCATGTTGTTTGATTGTTTGGGTAGAATCAAAAAACCCTAGGAAGTGTTTGGATTTTGCTGGTGTGCATGGTCAGAATCATTATATTCCCTAGGGTTTTTTGGATTTTGTAACGAAACCCAAAAATTCCCTAGGAAAAGTTTGAATTGCGCTGATGTCGCCGGTGGAAACCATTGGATTCCCTAGGTTTTGTTTGGAATTCATTGCAAAATCCAAAAAAACCCTAGGGAAATCCAAAAAAAACCCTAGGGCATATAATGATTCTGACCGTGGGCACCAGCAAAATCCAAACATTTCCTCGGGCTTTTTTGGTTCTACCCCCAAAAAGCCAAACAAAAAACATTGAAATCCAAAAATTGCAAAAAATATGCGAATCCAAAGATTCCGTAAAAATCTTTGGATTGTTGGATTTGGCAGTGTCTCAGCTTTTCGCATTGCTTGTATAAATCTATGATTCAATCCTGAGGGATTGAACATAAATTTCATACACGGAGCGGCTGCAGGCGCTCCTAGCAGCAGACTGCGATTACAGTATCGTTAAATACTAAGTCATAACATGTGGACCACATGATCCGAACATAATGCAAGCGAGCACAGTGCACATAAATGAAACACCTAGAAAACAGGAAGCAAATATTCGGTGTAGTATCACTGAGCTATTTGGAACTACGCGGTCACCGCAGATTGGAGGTATCATTTAAGCACCATTAATATTGCTTACAAGCACAGTATCTAGCCGTTGTTAGTTTTGTCGTTTACTTATGAGCTATCTTCCAAATATTTGGTGAATATCAATAATGCGTCAGGTATGTGTGAGATCATGAGATATTGGCCGATAATTCATATCACATGCCAAACGATATCAATAATTCATGAATATCAAACACCAACCGATATTGGTCATTGCTAACTAAGCATCTCTTGTAACGGTAATTCGATATTGACAAATGATCAAAATGATCGCGATCTAACAGTTATTGATATTGTCCTTCACCTGTCGTCAGCTATCTTCTACTGAATTTCCGTGCTACCAACAACGCTTTAGGTATGTACTCATGAGTTATTGGTCGAACAGATTATTTTGGGATACCAAACACAAAGCGATATTGCTGTTGCATGGCTATCAATGTTGGATTCCAAGCAAATTAAACTAATGATTACTAAGCCCATCTCTTATAACGGCAATTCGATAGTTATTGAAGAATGACTAANNATCTTACCTTTAGCTTGTGGTCAGCTATCATCTAAATATTTCCGTAACACCAAATATATATATATATATATATTCATGAGATGTTGGTCGAGTAGTTCATTAATAACAAATGCTCAGCCAAATTAATTATACTAAGCATGTTTCATAATGGTAACTCGGTTTTGAGGAAACAATAACTAACAGACGAGTCTTTCAGGCAATATCTTCTGACATTCAAAGTACTAACAGTGTATACTAGATATTGTTCCGCAGGCCAATGCTAGTCCAACATTGGGCTAGATTTCACTGCATCTCTGCTAAAATGTTCACTACGCAAGGCCCACGACGTAGCAACTACATATGTAACCCTATATTGAATGCGAGCTAAACACCAAAACCAATATTCAAACAAAAGCTGTGAACATACTAACCAGGTGTCGTAGAAGTATCCAACAAACGATCAAACAAACACATACCCCCTCATCATGTATCATTCAAATAATAAACAAATGATACATATATAACACATACTTGTGGTGCAAAAAGGAAGAAAATAATGACCAGCACAGAATAGTTAACCATTCATATGAACTTAAAATCAAATTTACAAGATTGCTTGCTGCTTCAACAGCCTTATCCCATGACTTGTTTTTTTGGTTAGTGGTGTTTAATTTCCACTAGCCTGAAGCTGCGAAGCAAGATAATATGAACTTTCCGTCTGAAGGCATGACGTGTAAGGACCTTTGGTATACGTGAACACACAATAGAAGCGCGACATCACATATCTTACAGTACAACAACGCAGCAACAGACTTCCGGCTTGCAACAGTTTCAGTTACGCTGTGCGTGTTCGCCCCACTCCCAAGAACCTCCAACGGTGGATCATGGGGGGGGGTGGGCCGGGCATATATATATATATACACATACATAACAGTATTCTCATTATGATGATTATCAGTCTTAATAGTTTTTGTCGGTATTTCTTTTATTATTCTGAGTATTATCATTGTTCATGTGATATGACAAATTGTATGCATACGCCTCTGGCTGGCCAATTTACAGTGAGGTCAGGCGAGGTCACTCCCTGACAAAATCTGTGCTGCCCAGATACAGCATGGTCATGGCTTGAGCCCCGTTCTTCGTTCTGTGGTATCCCCCTCCGCCCTCCTGTGGCATGGTAGGTATGCAGGGTTGCCGCGCGGCAGGAGCGCGGACTGCTTGACGGAGATCCGCTCCTCGTCCACACAGCAAGATCATTCCCCCCAAAACGTAAGACCCAGATGCTCCCAAGCCAAACCGCCCGATTGAAGCAGCATTATTCTCTCTGGGGTGAGTCCAGTTTCAGACTTCGTCCGAAACTCATGTCCGAAACTCTGCCTAACCGGCTCAACGAAGCCACAAAACCAACATGCCACAACTCGCTGAATCGAGTGCAACCCGTCAGCACGTCCTTCATGGATTGAGGTTTGCTTCGTATTTTTCCCCAGGCAGTCTGAAGTGTCGTGGTTTCAGCTGCTTTCAGCTTTCCAGCTAAACTTCAGCAAGTGTCTTGGTAGGTCTGTTTGGGAGACTTCGCCTGGCTTGTCCGAGTTCTAGGACGGATCGAAGAGCCCAAGCCAAGGAGCTGGGCTCACGTTTGGCCATCAGCTGCCGCTCTCGGCGCGCTCTTGGCGGGCCGACCCCAGCTCCTTCCAAGGGTTTAAGGAGCAACGGTTTATGAGGCATTTCGCGATTGAGGGTCCATTGCCAACATGTAGAGAATCGCAAGCTCAAGAATTTGGTCTACAGTAGTTCGATTTCTTTGTTCTCTTGCAGGATCTCCCGTCAGAACCCCAATTCCCGTCATGTTCATCCGTGAGCAGAAGCTGTGACAAGCAGAATCCCAGGCTCGTTGAAGACAAGCGGGTCGCCGAGCAGGGAGCCCAAGCCTCGTGCGATTGCAAGTTGAAGGTGCGATTCGAAACATGTCGAGAGTAGAACTAGAATCAACACGTTTTTAATGAATTTACCAGGCTTCCCAAATCCGAAGCGACTATCCGAGGTTGAATTCTTGGAGCGTCTTGTATTCACTCCTGAGTTAAGGCTCTGCAGCTTCCACGAAAGGACTTTGAAGCTCTGCCCCACTGATCTCTGGGCGTCCAACACCTGAAACATGTTCGAGCACACTGAATCCAACTTTCTGCAGGTTCTTCCTTTCAATAGCTCCAACGAGACCCAACCTACGAGCATCCTCCAACGTGAGACTTCCGCCTTGCAAGTTCCGAGCCTTCACGATTCTGCACAGCTGGACGGAGCTGCCTTGACGCCTGAAGCCTCCACTTTGAACCACAAAAGCTCGCGAAAAAGGCTTGGCGCCGGCTTGGGCCTTTGTGGCCTCGTCTCCGCCGCAGTGGGGGCGCGCACGGTGCTGCTGCTGGATGCTCGTTGCTTTTTGCTTCGCTTGGGTGTGCTTCCATTGCTCCAGGGCCGTCTTTCTAAGGATGGCCATTTGCGACCTCGTTCTAGTGGGCTCACCTGTTCCTTGTGCACCATGTAAAGACGGACTGAGCTGCATTGTCATGTGTGGTTCTATCTTTTCGGGATTACGTGCGGGTGCAGACGCGAGGCTTGGCTTGCCCCTGTCTGGTTTTCCGGCCACTGTTGGCCTGCATCTTCCTCGTTTCGCTAACCCCCTTTCATGAAGAAGGACTATGTTGTGCATGGGATGACAGGGTTCAATTTGCACCAAGCCGGCGGCTGCTGCAACGAATCAGGCTTCCCTTCCAAACCGCTCACCCTGTGCTTCGTTTGCCATGAAACTGCATGCTGAGGTCAATGTGCAAAGGGAAAGCCCAAAAGACACCGAAAAGTAAGTCTGTGAACATTGCAACCACGAATGTCTTTCCTGCACCACGACGAGGACCGTGAGCCCCGGGCGCTGCATTGCGCCGTGGCCTCTGCAGAGCTCGGCAAACTGGCGGTGCAGGCTTCAAAAGACAATTGCAGGTCTACCGAAGCACGATCGCTTTTCGGGGTGCCTCAGTTGTCGATGTTGTTGGGACCTGGAGTCCCACATCTAGCATCATGCTCAGACATACCCTCGCCGCTATACTTCCTGGTGCCATGGATGCAGGAACCCAGCAGAATGGCAATGGAAACACACATGGAAATGACTGCAGTGCCGGCCATTCAGTCGAAGGTACTTCCGAACAGATTAGACTGCTGTTCTGAGCGCGACCAATGCAGGCCACTGACTGGCTTGAACTGATGGGACTGCGTGACTCCCCCAACAGTGATGTAGGCTCCATGAGTCCTTGTCTACGACCGGTGCATTGCTCCATACACGAAGGAGGTTGGCGCAGCTTGCGGCGCCAACTTGGCCGCAATGAGCTGTCAACTTGGCAGTTGTCGACAGATGACGAATCAGGCATTATGCGAGGCTTCGGAAGATCAAGGAAATGATTTGAGATGGTGTTGGATTTGGGCCACGCCGCCAGTCTGTCTGCAGACCCATCAGCCCTGTGGTCAGAGGTGCAGGCTGCGGTCTACGACTGGGATGCGCCTCAGACTTTCGCGGAGCCTGTAGATGTGCCACGGCAGCATCATCAAGGGAGAAATGGAATTGGGGATTGAGCTGCGGACCCCACCCTGCACGTCCCATCCGACTGGAAGCCCTCAACCCTGCCACCTGCAGATATGTCCAAACGTGACTGCCAAGCAAGGTTATCCTGGCAGCAGAGGCCATCGCAAATTGCCGTTTGAGTTCCGATTGCTGTTTTGTTAACGCAAAGCCTGAGTGAGCGAGTAAGTGAGGCTAGGTATTGTGAGGGTGATGCCGTTCCCGTTGAATCCTTCCATGCCCATCACACCCCCAGTGCCCACTGCGCTCATCACTCGATTCAACCTCCTACGGCAGAGTGTCCTGGCAGTATGTCAATACACCTCTGGTGCCGAGAAGTAGCCTGTGTAACATATCATGGCATCGAAGATGGTTACATACCTGCAGTCTTGAATTTACGCACTTGCCGCTGATGAACATGTAACCTACCCGCGCACTTGCCGCTGATGAACACTTGATTGTGAGAGGCAAGTGGTGAAGAATTGGGTAAAGGCTCCAGCCGAAACAGCCGGCGGCAAAGTCCGTCAAAACCGACATGAATGTGTGAAGGTTGTTGTGAGCGAGCACCGAGACGTAATTTCTAAACGACTGCGAGCCGATACCTTTTCGGGAGGTCCTCTACGATGTTACAGCCTCAAAGGCACTGGCTGCAGCCTCTTTGTGCCTGCTTCGTGGAGAGGCCTGGCACCGTGACAGGTTCGGGATTACGAGTTGCAAGTTGAACTGCAGACACATGTTGTCACATATAGCTTACCTACACGTAACTTGTAGCCTCGGTATGTCAGTTTACAGGCAGTCCAAGTCGATATTAGGCAGGCTGAGTACAGTCATAAGCGAGTAGAACTGTTGGCATCTGGGGAACTCGGCAGGGTAGTTATAAGTTAGTTCTATGACGTTCATCAAATTACGGAGAGATATTTTATAGGATTTAGTATGAAAGTTGCAAAACGCTTTCAAAATACAAGATTCGTTACGGAAGGGCGAGAATTCACAGAATGTGACAAATGAGTTGAACAAATAATGATCGCACACACACACACACACACACTTACTTTTGTTGTTGAAACCGACGGTTTTTGGGTCTTCGCTCTTGCACATTGGTATGCGAATGTGCATGTTCATGCCGCATCTGTTCCGGCATGACTTGGCTGGAAACAGGCATCGCCTGCTTTTGGGCCACCAGCCCCAAAACATATGAGAAAACAGGATGAAGACTTTCAGGCGCCGCAGGGTGAAACCCAAGGATTTGTGAACAGTGTGTCATGTAGGCCACCACAAAACAGTCAAAAACTACCCTGCTGCTGCAAAGAACTCATCTGTCAAACCTTGTCAGAAGTGGGGCAGCGATTTCCCGCGGCCACCGTGCGGGAATGGAGCAGACAGATGTTAGCGGTGGTGGGCGATTCGGTTTTCAAAGCCCGCAGCAGCTTCGCCGTGTCCCAGAGTCGCAAGAATTCTGCTTGACGTCGAAAGCTTCTGAATAAAAGCTGGTCAGCTGGTCGCATGGGTTTGTTTCGTTGCAGCTATAGATCGGGATGGGCCATTTAAATCGGCGGCGGTGTGGCATGAATACAGGGTGGATGGTGGATGGTTGAGACATATGTGTTAATGCTTCTGTTTTGTCCCTGTCAGGCCTCCGTGAAAGCATCGCTGAGACGGTTTGAGGTCCTTTTTGAGGATTACACGTCCTGACACACCACAAAGCGTCCAGAGGCATCATGGGAACATTGCTGGAATGTTTGGGGGCCTCCCTGCGAGCCTTGCAGAGCGCTCTCTGACATTCACTTTAGTCGGCACACCGGTGAATCTAGATTGCCTCCCGGCACTCAAAAAGACCATGGACGACATGCTTAACCAGTTCATGCACATGCAGCCTGACCGCGGCAGAGTGAAGATGATGATGGTGGTTGAGCAGCTGGAAGTCAACATGCCCAACGCCGACGTACGGTCTTTCTTGCATTCAGTAAACGACTGCAGAGTTCAATACACTCTGTTGCTCTTTTCATGCAGATGCCTCCCTCAACGAGAAAAGCCAGATACAAATTATCGCACTTGCACTTGTTCTGAAGTTTTCTTAGGTGCACTGTAAGACTTTGCAAGCAGAGTTCATCACGAACTTGGATTGAAAACGACAGACCTCCACAACAAAATTGCGGTCGTATGCATCACTATGCTTTGCCTGCTGTTGCTGAGTCCAACAAATATGCTGCAGCAGTGGCCCACGACTCGCCTGGCTTTGCAATGTTATGCTGTATGCCACAACCCAATCCGGAAACGCAAAGGACGAGCACACTACAATCTTTTTCAGCAATGGAAAACTGAATTCAAACAGTTCCCGGATCCTGTAACTTGACTAAGTTACGGGACTTAAACAACACGCTTTTTTGTAAGTTTTGTTGCCAGGTACAGGTCAACTACGTGTCTGCTGTTCAACCTATACAGTCTTGGGAGTTCAAGAATTGTAGGGTTCAATTGGGCGAAAAGTTCAAAGTTTCGGTTTGTGGAGGTTTCGCGATTTGCACGTTCGGATTGGGTATTTGTGAGACCCGGGAATGGGGCTTCTTCGCAGGATGGTTCTCGTGGTGATTATACAACTTCGCTTATCCTGGCGAGCGCAGCCGCCCCCGACCACCCAGACCTGACATCCCAGAGTTCACCTTCTGTGCAGAAAAGAAACACCTGCTTGCGTGGACCTTTGCACCCAGCACTCTCCACGCCTGACAGCATCAGGTGTGACTCCGCTACCATAGGGGATTGGGGTCCCTTAGCCCTGAAGATGGAGCCCAGCCTCCGGCTCTGAGCCACGCACCCGTACAGAGCCATCAATTCCAGCCCCATCCAGCCCCAGCAAACCTCCATAGTCTTGCGCAAACATAAGTCTTGCTGTGAAGCTGCAACTGACAAGTTAATCTTGCAATCGAGGCCTCCGGGAGGGTTTGCACAGCCCTCCCGGCAAAACCTGTATAGGGGATTTCAGCAGCTTCGCAACTCCCCCGTCACCTCCGCGCCATGGCGTTAGAAGTCCCGCAGTGGCTTGCGGAGCGCTTTCCCGAACGGGACCCTTGGCTTTGAAGTCTGCTAGTAACTAGTAGTTGGAAGCGGGGTGGGCTAATGTTTGTTAACAGAGAAGCAGGTATCGTGACATTGTAAGTTTTCCGAGTCTCAGGGACCACGGAAGTTTGCACTAGTTGCCAGCCGTGGGTCTGCATTTAGTGTCTTATGATGGAGTCTTATGATTATTATCCCTTGTTTAGAGTTGTTTATGTTTAGAGTTGTTTGTTTGTGGGGCGATTGTCTTTTCAGCCCTGAACAGAGTCAACGCCTTGGGATTCCCACCATGCAGATCTCAAGGAATGGGAGACCCTTCGAACCTGCAAGCTCGTGGCGATGCCCGCTTGAAAGCAGAGATGTGATTCTGTTGGTCTGCATTTGCTACAAAGCAACGTGATAAGCCAAGAGTGGGCCCAACGTACCTTAGTATGACATCGCGCATCGAACAATGCGAAGCGTCGGAAGGTGTGAGTTTGAGGGTTTTCTAAATCAGTTTCGGGACGGAGTTGCGGGACAAAGGCCAGGTCAGGTTGGGATCAGGACGTGGTTAGTTTCAGGCCCAGACCCTGAAACTTGGTCGTTGCGCTGCGCTGCTTCATGCTGCCATGGTGCCCGAGCTTTCTGGGAGGTTCAGAAGATAAGCGTCGCTGAAGGCTACGCATAACTAGTACTTGTAGGATCCTCTTGCTGTTTTGCGCTACACAACATCCACAACAATAACGAGCACCTACTTTTAAAGAGCCTCCGGTTCACCCACCCAACATAAATCATACAGGGGCCTGAACAAGTAAATAGTCAGGATTTACTGTTACGGGTGGGGAGACAAAAGTTTAGGATTGAAAGTTTAGGGTTTAGTCTGGTCAAGTCGTATTTGCTTCAGTAAGCTCTGGGTGGAAAAGGTTTGTACACTAGTAGAAAATAGTAGAATACAACTAGCAGTGGAGTAGTATTCGCGGTGCTGGAGTAGTATAGTAGTATTCGCAGCACTAGTTTTGCAGGTAGCGCTGGTCGTAATCGTAGGAATTGCTGGCAGTGCGTGTAGTATATTACCATGGGTGTTACGCTTCTGTTCCGTAGTGTTTCGGGGATGTGCCTGTCGGCTGCCTCCCACCTACTCCCACTTCCCACCTCCCACCTCCCCCCTCCCACCTCCCCCCCTCCCACCTCGGTGCTTAGGCGGCCGCTACTCACTACTCATTCTCATACTCTTTACTTCATCATTCCGGTTTTCGCCAGTGTAACGGCATCTCGACGGCTTCTGGTTTTCATCCGTCATCCCCAGGAAGGAGGATGTGGGTGCTGGCCTCGAGATGGAGGCGACAGAGTATCCAGGCCTTCATAGTTTTCATTCAGATGCTTTTTCGGCGACAAGAAATCCCAAATCCCCAATGCCTTTTGCACAGACCATCACATGACCCAGTGAAAGCACAGAATAGCACTAAGCCACTTGGGACCCTGTAAATCTCGACCCGCTTCCGAAGCTGCCCTAAACCAAGGTACGGCTACGAGGTGGAGACCATCCTACCCAATCCGGGCCAGGCTGTGTGTTGGCGACACTTTTCTATTTGTGAGTCCTGATAAGCACGTAGACACTGGTGTCAACCTTCGTTGTACATATGGAAAACCGTCCGAGAAATCTCCCAAGGCCTGAACCCTAGGCAAGTCTTGACAGTTGGAGGACCCGTCTCTGAAGTCGGGGGACACGATCGTGGCTATCGAAGGAGAACGATTGCTTGGTCTTGCAGAGGACGCGGGTTTTGTGGGTCTGAGGGTTCTGTGTTCTCCTCGGGGTTTCTCGGGACCGATGCCCAGGCTTGAGCGACTCTGGAATTGTCAACATGCGCATAGTCGAAATCGGATGGTGAGCTGTGACCCTTTCTCGTTCACAGCCGCAGCGGAGGTCGCATCCCTGATCAGATACCATGGACCCATCAGATGGTCGCAAACATCCACGAAGAAGTCTCCCCAAGGATGTGTTGAGTTGGCGGATTTTGTGGAAGCTTACAGAGCTGCCTTGCTCGCATCCCAGCGCTGCAGGTTTGGAGCTGGCATTTATATTCGAAGATGCACATGGAGTCATGGAGTGTCTAGTTCCCGGGGTAGCAGCTAGCAGCTAGCACACCGCACAATCCCGAGCCTCTTCTAGATGAACCAACTACAGAAGAAGGGCATAGATGCTTTCGAATCTCCGCCGTCCAATGGTACCATGATCGAGGAAGACATCGACCACGTGTTCGGAGTTCACTTTCGTCACGGTGCGGCACTACTGCTGCTCAGTTCGGAGGCCATGCAGGGGTGCAGCACTTCGCAAGTTTGCATCAGTACCTGTCTTCGTCTTTATTCGTATGCAGTGCCCACGTGGGCTCCGGGCCTTGGGCCTTGGAGCCGAAGCCTTTGCCCAGTCTCCAGGTTCGAGGTCCAGGCTGCCAGAAGGTGCCACAACTTGGTTTTGAATGTGAAGGTCCAGCACGGACTGGATTCCTCGCCCCTCCAACTTCAGAATCGTTTGTCCCTTGCCTTGGGCTCCCGGCTCCGCCAAAGGAACTGCGGAATGCTGCTCAGAGCAAGGGGCAGATGGAGGACTCTCGGCAGCACTCGAAGCTACTTTCTTTCGAGGCGGATGTCTTGGAGGCTTCAGGTTCAAGGCCTTACTGCTGCTGACGCGTGGGCACGGCCAGGATGAAGGCGTTGCCGAGTCAGACAAGAGGAAGAGCGACATGGAACACGAGGCGCCTCGAATGCAGGGTAAATGCTGAGAGCGACCAGGGGAAGGTGTTCAGAGGATGCAGCATCAGACACTTGGAAATTCACAGATGCCGCGTTGGGTCTCTGTATTTGTGACATTGGACCGGGTCGTGTTTGGACATATCAGCTCCCTGAAAATCGACATGTGTCGAATGCTTTGTGTTCAGGCACACCTGGCATTCGTGCTTGGCCAATGCAGCGCGAATGTTGCAGTTGCATGTTGTTTATAAAGCTTTGCTAGTTTACTGTGATCAGGTTCATGAGCTTGCGCTGCTTTTGGCGCCGCTGCATCCGAGCGCAACTCCCTTCCGAGACCCGAAAGCGAAACAATAACGTGGGGAAGTCTTTGCAGGCCACGGTGCGGATTCCTGTCGGCCGAGCCACGGCCTGGCAACTGGACGAAGCCACGGCAGCCAACGCTTCTTGGTCGCGACATGATTTCCGGTGACCCACATCTAAAGTTTTCCAGGTTCACACTGGGAGGTGGGACATGTCAGGACCAAATAACAGCCAAGCTTCGCAGAAGCACACGCTGTGTGAAACGGGCGTGTTCGGCACTTCTGTCAGAATGGACATGGTGCCCTCGTGCAATTCGAGCCCAATTCCAGTCCGAGTCTGGCTCATTTTGTTTGACAGCGCTTCGTTTTCCCCTCTTGTAATTTGCATTTTTCATTTCGGACCGCGATATCATTTTGAACTCCTGTCTGTTTCGCTCGTCCTTTCCCTGTCTTTTGAGACCCATACTTTTTTCATATTTGTTCACCCTGGCCTTGATTTCCAGAGTTGCCTGATTCCGGCCACTCGGCTGTTGGAGAGCTTGGGAGGATCAGAAAATTTCGGGATTGTCAAGGAATGCCTTTTGTTCGTCTAGAAGAGCGCATGGCAAGTGTTGCGTTTAGAGAAGTTGACAGTCTGAGCAGAAGATCCAAAAAGTGGGTGAAGGATGTGCCGGATCTGCTGCTTTAGTATAACACAGGATGGACTCATCGTGAGTCCTGGTCCTTTCTGGTCCATAGCCTCCCGTCTTAGGGCCTTGCGGCCCGAGCCTGATTTTCGAAACCTTTCCAGTCCAAGGTCCTTCCTTCACTTCCCAAGAGCCACAGCGCAACAATTTTCTCCAAGCCTTGCAAATAGTTGCGGTTCCATGGCCTTCGCCGCCGAAAGGTTCCGAGGTCAGACAGTGGAGACAAAGGCTAGAAAGGAATGTACAAGGGTAAGCAGCGGTTACCTGCCAGCCTGCCTGTAGCAGGTATCCAACGACTTGGCTATCGTGAGTGAGAAGTTTGGGCTCGCTGCCCGGGCTCACTTCGGTGACCATGGCTGCTTGGATGTGAGCCAATACCACACGATCACTCGCCCTATAGTACATAGCGCAAGCACACAAGCACATGCCCATACCCGGCGGCCATACCCGTTGCACTTGCTCCGACACCCACAATCGGATGCACGATTGAAGTCACTCGCCTTCGGCCTAGCTAGGGTGGTGGCATCTGCAAACTGCACAAGCCGCTGAGGGCTCAGGGCTCGATGTTTCCACAGCTTGGGCCGCAGGCTCTCGGCAAACGGCTCTAAACTTGAATTGACTGCGCTCGAGCCTAATCATTCGGGAACGGTGCACGGAAAGCAGCTGCCACTTTGCAGAGCAAATGGAAACAGCGAGTATTGGCAGGAAACTAGCAATGCGATACGACAAGTTGTTTGTCCCCGGACGAGAAATCCGATCTACATACATCTCCCTTTGCTTGCATTTGCAAGTCTCAGCCGGAAGGTTCTACAACACAATCAAGCTCCCAACCCAACTCCCTTGAACCGCAAAGAACAGGAGAAACCATTCCCTCTTGCCGCATTGTGCTTACATCGGCCGACCTGTAAGGCATGGAAAGCGTTATATTGACGGGTTTCCCCAGTGCCATCGCCCAAGCGCGACCGGAGGTCGTTGGCTCCTTGGCGAATCGATTCCAGGGATGTTGGTTACCTGTTGGCATTTAGGTGGGTCTGAAGACGTGACAGCACGCAGTGATTGGGCATGCAGGCCAGCTGTTGCTGCGCGGGTTCAGCAATCTCATGCAAGTCACTTCCAGCATTGAGGCATAGCTGAGGACATCAGGACAGGCTGCAAACCAAGCGAGACTAGGCAGAGACGCCGGACATGCAGAACGAGGAAGAGCCGCGAGGAGCAACATACTTCCGCAGCAACAGACACGTTTCTCTCCTTGGGTCCAAGACCGCAACAGCTAGCCTAGGGAATGCATTCATCGCCACAACGCAGCACTCTTGGAAATGAGCTTGGCGGTGAATGTCCCAGTTGTTGCGAGCATAGCTAACTTGAAGCTGTGCAATTGTGCACCAGGAAAAGCGCAAGAAAGCACTGCACCAATTACAGACAAGTGCAACACTTCAGGAGCTAGACTACTCGGACCAGACTCCGCTTGATCGAACGGCTCTGATGGTTAATGCTCGATTGCGATCGTAGAAGGTGGCCCATGTTTCTGTATGTTGTGCACGCCCACCATGTTTACAATGATACGGATGATCATCGTCGTAAGCATGGGCGTCGAGGCATCCTTTCTTTCTACCGCGACGGCCAGCTCCACAAAGCCAGCGAGGCGCCAGTGGAGGCAGCAGCCGGGCCGGCACCGATCACGCCGATGGACGGGCAGGGCGGGGAGATGATGACAATCTGCAGACACTTCGGACCCCGGTGTACGTTCACTCTTCTTCCCGATTCCTTTGAATCTCTCCACTCCAAAATGGGGTCCACGGACGCGCAGGGGAAGGGCGGGACCCCTTCCTGCAACCTGCACAGAGAGAGAGAGAGAGAGAGAGAGAGAGAGCAACCATGTCTTTCTCCTAGCCCCCAAAGGCCCTTACACAGGGGCGCGCCTTGCGGCGCGGGGAGCCTTGCCCGCTCCTCGTACCCCGGAGAACAGAACAGAACAGAACAGAGAGAGAGAGAGAGATAGGAACTTCTCTCAGCACGGGGCGGGCCGGGATAGCGCCCTGCAATTTTGCTAGTCATTCTACTTTACAGGACACCGTGTGCAACTTCCTAATGCCAACCTACGGGAGTCCCCAACCGGGGGCTCGCCCCTCAAGCCGAGCAAAAGAAAGAGACGGGTAGAGCTTGTGGGCCCTTATGCGCCGGAATGCATATGTTTCGCTACCGTGCCGAGATGTGTAATCTGGGGTGCTTCGCGTATGTCTACGGGGGCCGGAGCTAGGTCTCGGTGTTTCTACTTCAGGTCAATTGAGAGGGGAGACACAAACAGAGGGAATCAGCAGTCCTGCGTCACTTTAGAGACACTAACACCAACCGTTGAGTGCAGAAGATGGCAGGTGAGCCAGTGAGTCTGATCCACAGAAGGTTAAACACCATTCATTCAGAGTGTCACTCATTATGGTGTTCGGGCCTGTGGCGGTGATGGCAAGTAAGTAGACATTCATGGCGTTTGGTTTTACATCGTTTTTTTCAAGTAGGGCAGTCTTCTCTAGAGTAACAATTAACACATGCTTCTTACTATGCCGTTTGTTCACATCAACCGTTGTTTCTCCTGCTTCCATCCCCGAACCCTGTCCATGTAAAGAAACACATGCAAGGGACAAAGGTACAGTTTCCCTGACAGTTGCAGCGCTTCCTTTGCACCGGATAGCTGGGGTCCAGGAACACTTACTTGTAAGTTAAGCTTGTTTGCATAATTGTGTGTGTGTGTGCAAACTTGGTCTGTTGCGGTTAAGCCTACCTTTAAAGGAAAACTTGATTCTGTGAACTCAGCCCTCCGTGTTTGCATCTGCAGGACACCGCATCCCTGGAGTTGCCCGATCATGTGCGGGACGTTCGTCAGTTCCTCGTGCCGGCTGATGTAGTACGGAGTGCCTCAAGAGTAAGATTCCTGGCGGAAACCTGATTATTTTTTGCTTCTGCCGTTGCATCAGACTTGTTGTCGTCGGAATTTTCAGAAAGTTGCTGACTTCCGCCGCGCCGTGTCTGGATGTCGTGATAGGTGAAGCTGGGGCGAAGCAGGCTTTGCCGATTGCTTTGCTGCACAGGCTGCAGAAGCAAACGAAAATGTCGATCAAGCAAGCTCAGGTTTCAGTACCACGACCACACGGCCGACATTATCGTCCATGCCTGGGGCACCTCTTTGCAGGAGGCGTTTGCCCAGGTGGCCTGGGAAGCCCGTCCACACGCATTTACTGAAAAAGGTCGCCCAAGCACCTACCCGAAGGTGGTGTACGGTGTATCTACAGAATCTACAGGAGACATTGTCACCTTTTTCTCGGTTGGATGGAAAAAAAACGTCGCTCAGGCGAAATTTAAAGGAGTTGTTTGTGTTTGCCAAGCTCACGATCCTATGGCGGGCCTGACTGCAGCGCGTGCGTGAGCGAAAGCCTTGGCTTGAGGCCTTCTCCGTCCCAGCCCTTTGCAGTGCCCTGCCTGATGTGGTGCGAGATGCAGTGGGATCCGGAACACGTCCCGACCCGCTCGACGATTCGGATCTAGCTCCAGGTATCTCCAGGTATCGTATTGATAGGACTTTAAACAATTTCGAGCGATGCGAAGGGCAAATGAGCACGGGACTGGCAGGAGCATGAATTGAAGCCCCGAAATAGGTCCGGCACTGTGGCGGAAGCGCGTTTCATCAAGTCCGCGAGCGCCAAACTATATAGTGTATCCCATAATGAATTCGGCCTCCCCGACGGACACGGCAGGTGCGGGACGGTTTCCGCTATTGAAGGAGGAAAGGCGCAGGGCCAGTGCGAGCACGGAATCAGTGCGCACCTCGCGGGATCTCTCTGCGCCGAGCTTATAAGAAGCCCAGAGTGTGATACTGCCAAACTGCTGCTTCGGCTCCCGAGAAGATGTGTCCCAAAACCCAGGGAAAGCCCTAATTAAGACAAACCTAGGCCCACCGAGGCCCCAAACTTTCTTCAGTTTCTTGTTTCGGTGCAGTGCACGCTTAAAGAAGACGCGCCTTCTGGTTGCAACGATTGTTGACGAAAGCGTCAGTCACGATGTATGAGCTGTGGCGAGCAACACCATCTAATTTGCCAGGTTTGTGTGGGCATGTTCAACTACATGACTCCCCTGGAGAAAGCTGACGCCTTGGATACCAGAGTTACTAGGGTCGAGGCATGGCTTGGACGTTGATGTGTTGGTTTCTTGTCAACGGATGTTGGTATGCCTCATTGTGTTCTGCCGACGTGCCATACTGTCACGTACAGTTGTCGGCAGGTTGCCCTGCAAAGTGCATCACACTTCGGCGATAGCCAGCACCTGAAGTACGATGCAGCTTGAGGTTGGCATTGCCAAGACCGTTGAGGTGGAAGCCACAGGGCACGACCTCCTGGACCTACTCTATCATCTTCTGGATGAGCTCCTTGGCTGCCACTCCGGGCGGATAGACTCATATGTCGACATGGGGGCAAGTGCTGAATTGCTGCGTGAATGGCGTGACACGATCCAATGAGGGGCTGTAGAAGTGAAGGGATAGATGACGTTTGGCAGCTGCCTCCGCCTAACAAGCAAGAAGGAACGGTCCACTGTGGTGTTTGTGTGCGGGTGTGTTCCTGCCTTAAGATAGACACGCCTAGAGGGATGCTTGCAGTGCAGGTTCCTCTACGTCTTTGCCACGGAGATGCACGTCAGCAGGTGCATCGAAATCTTGTCTTTCGATGAGTCGCCCGACGATTTTATGGCGAGCTGTTTTGATTTTTTACTCCAGCCCCTAAGATCTGGAGAGATACTTCGTCACGCAGCATCATCACATTTGTCTCTGTGCGCTGCTATCCTGGACAGGGTTAGTTGCATGTGTTGCAAGAAGCTCTCATGAGAAGGGTTTTGCTTAAGAAGCGTTGTAGACTTCATTTGCGTGCATGTTGATAGTGTCATCTCGCGAGTGTGTTTTGTCCAGGGAATCGGATCTCATTTTCTCTTTCCGACCTCATTGGAACAAGGCACAAGTTCAGCATCCGAGCGAGGGGCTATGGAGAGAAGATGGACTTGCGGATTCTCGGCTCCTATGATACGTGCTTGAATTCCTCTTTGATACCCCTCATAGTTTCATACGAGATACCTGTAGATTGTGTACTCCGCAGATGCCAAGGAAGCATGAGCAAGGTACCGAAATCAAGGACAGCCGATCGTTTTCAGCTTTTTGTTGCTTGCCCTCCGTTCTGCTAGGGAACACGGGGAAGCAATCATGCCAGTATTGCTCTGCCTTGAAGCTCCAGATGAGAAAAGTGGAGCGCAGGCCATTACTATGCACATGATGAAGATTCTGGCGCCCGACTTTATGCTCACAGAGGAGAGATCGAACTTGAACTATGTAGGATGTCGGGATGGACCGAGGCGCTTTGCAAAGCCAGCATTTCACGTTGTGAGAAGTTGGAAGGGACATCCAATTGACAGCAGGAAGGTCGTGGCTCGCGCGACGCGGATGGCCAGATGTCGGACTTTCCATTCGAGGCCCTATTTTTCACTTGAACTTGAGTTTGACTTGCAGGACAAGGCACCTACATAATCATGATTCGTAGTTACCATACCTGCGTCGGACTTCAGCAGGCAGCCCAGTAGATCCGGAAGGCCTGTCCATTCCTGCATTACGGTGACCTCACAGACCTTGAAGCTGCGAAAAAAGAATTGACTCTTTTATACCTTGCCCGCTGCGGAGGCGTATGTGCTGCTGGATATCTGAGCTTCTGGGTGCACGACCGTGCTCACAAAACACTGCAGATTCGAAACTCAGTGATAGAGGACTTGTGGGAACAGACTATAGATGTGTCTGTATGCACCAACTTCGATAGAGCCGAGCTGTTATCATAGACATCCGGCGACACAGGTACATGGAATCCACCGAAGTGTCTGCTGTTCTCATTGACATGTGTTCTCATGTACGTTGACCCAAGATTCCGCGAGAGAGACAGAGAGAGAGAGCATCAGACACAACGACGGACGGATTCTGCGGCTGTTTCACAACTCCAGCACAGGAGTCCACGGCTCCGGCTTAGATTTCCTGACGTGCTTCCTGCAACAGGTCTGTGGTTGGGTTTCTTCGGAGAGGTCCGCATGTCCTTCAAGAAAAATTGGGGCTCAGGGGGCTAGGTTCAATCCCATCGCAACCACACGCCCTCGAAAATCTGGTCAGCATCTGGTCATCGAAGAAGATATCGAGTCGATCTATGTACTAGGAAGGTGTTCCTGAACAAATGCGCACGACTGGCAAATGTTTGGCCTTTCCCTCGCTCATCTGAAGGGTCGACTTTGTAACTGAAGAGGTTTGAGAAATCCCTTTGAAGCACTTCGTTGAGCACATGCGTCTCAAACTTTAGTCGTGTAAGGCCTGTATCTTTCGATCGTCGAAACATCTCGAAGCTCTTGTTGCCCACAGATGTCCACCCAAGTACGTTCGCTTGATTGCTTCGAGTTGTTTGGGGCTTGATTTGCAAGAGTCAGTCGCTCTTGCTGGCATCAGGCTGGTGACACTGAGCGCGTCCGAGCCGGCTGCGGCATATTGGTGACAGATCCTGTGCTGCCTGTCAAGCACTGCTTTCGTACATGGCTCTTGCGAGATTTCTGGCCATCCTTTCACTGGACATAGCCAGGGTTGTCGAAGCTTTGGATCTGTGGAGGGTGGAAGCTTCGGCCTTCCACCAAGGTGTTTTCTCTGGATCCATGGATACGTATCACCACTCCGATATGCAAAGTAGAATCCCTAAAGGTCACCTATGTTCTGAGTGGATAGCTCGTAGTAAGTAATAAGTAAGACTTGAGACGCCGGCTGCATCTTGCATTTTGGCTTTCAGTGGAAGAAGCATTCAGCCCCTGACGCGATGCCGGCCAAAGCGCAAAGGTACGGCCTCACGCTCAGTTGGTGAGTCCGCTTGTTGGATTCGGGCCGGCGAGTTGGCTCACGGACGTACTTCTAAGAACGTTGGTTTTGGGGCTTCGAACTTCGGGGGGTCGTTCTTCAAACAAAGCTGCATCTGCACTGCAATCACATCAGCATTTGCTGTGCCTGTCTTTTTGCTGACGGGTCCTTCCTTTCCTTGCATTTGGCAGGTACTGTGAGCGCTGTCGCCAATGAACCTTTCAGACAACATCAACCAAGGCACAAGATTTCAAACCGTGCTTATCACGATACCTATAAGAGCCCTCAACCCCACGCCGCACCTGAAGGATAAAGGCCCAGAGCTTGCTTTACAAGCCTGATAGAGCAGCCGCAAATGCGTCACCAAGGGAAGCTGGCCCAGGGCGAGACCAAGGCTGGTCTACGTGCACGCAAGACGCGGCCGGACTCGGACTCTGCTTCTTGGCAAGACGATAGTCGCAGTCGCTCGCAATTTTCGGTGCCTACAGAGACCTCGGGAAAGACCGAAGAATGCAGAGACACAGAGATTGAGAAAGCGAAGGCTTGCTCGGAAGGAGAGAAGAAAAATGGACAAGCTACAGCAGAAGAAGCAGAGATACACGGACTCTAGGACTCTAGGTGCCTGGAAAGTCCCGGGGCCCTGGGTGGGGAACTGTGATGGCTGCGGGGGGCCGAGCCATGACATCTCTCGTTGGTAACCAGACGCACCGCGGCACACAGGGGGCAACCTTGAAGTTGCTCTGACCTTGAATCACAGGATTCTGTACGCTGGGAGATGCTGAATGAGTTCGCCGTCCTTGGGTCTACGAGTCTACATGTAGTCTTAGAAAGTGGAGCAGTCGCCCGGCCAGCGCGAAGTGAGAATGGTATATTTCAAAGCAATGCAACTTTTGGGCATGAGAGTGTCACACGGATTTTGGCTTGCGGTGCTACATGCTGGAGACCGTCAAGCACGAGGGGGCGACAGATGGGGGGGGACGAGGCCTTCCTGTACTGCGACCCATGCCTCTGAGCCTCCCAGCCACTTCGAGCTCTGACCAGGTAGACCACCAGAGACCCACGCACGGCCGCAGAGAGCCATAGCGTTCAGTACCACAGGGTATAGAACATAGCGGCATACGCCACAAAGCCCAGTTTTGCTTGTGGCGGATGCTTTAAATCATCCTGTTGAGACCCTTTCCAGTAGGGACCTACCTGAAGTGGAAGTTTGAGCTTGGCCGACTTTGACGAGATCGCAAACTTCCTTGGTTGTGATGGGATGTTCCTTCTTCTGCACATTGTTTCCGGGGTACAAGGCCTCTCAGCACTGCGCCAACGAGGAGCCACTGAGGGGAGAGCCTGCATGTCCCAGTCAGGCCTACAACGCTCCTTGGATGCTGTCTTTGGAAATGTTGCTGCGTCGAGATTTCGGCTCGAGCCCGTATCGAAGGCACGGGACCCAATAGGGGACCCGACTCAACCTCTTTTCCATTGCGGCTGGGGGGGGGTGCGGAAATCGCGCGAAGACCGAAGACACATTTTAAAGACACATAGGGCTGCCTTCTCAGGCTTCGTAGAAGGGCATGCGAAGACGCATGGGCGTCGGCAGACCCATATCAGCCGAAGACAGCGCAGGCTACCAGGCGTCAGAAGACACATTCCGGATGAAGACACATGGCGTCGCGAAGACGCGTGGGCAAGCGCAGACACTTCCTGAAGATACGTCCGGCGCAGACACGTGGCGTCGCGAAGACATGTGGCGTCGCGTCGGCACGTGCTGTCGCGATGCCACGTGGCACCTGGCGTCATGACGCCACCTGGCGTCCTTCCGGGCCCCGTCAGTCCACGGCCTAATTTCTCGGAGTCCAAGATCGATATGTTATAATCATGGCGCCCCATCAGTCCAACGTTTTTTGGGCGGAGTTCACGATTTACAAGAGCTCTGATGAGGGCCGCCCCATCAGTCCAAGATTGCACTCTCGGAGTTCAAGATCTATAAGAAGTCGGATTTTGAACGCAGGGGCGCCCCGTCAGTCCAAGGCCCCGCCCTAACTATAAGAGTTCAGATTTGAAATGCAGGGGCGCCGTATTATCAGTCCAAGGCCCCACCCTCGGAGTTCACAATCTATGAGAGTTCTGATTTATAAAATCAGATGTGCCCCATCAGTCCAAAGCCGTTTTCATGGAGTTCAAGAGCCATGAGAGTCCAGATTTTAACAGCAGGGGCGCCTCATCAGTCCAAGGCCCGACTTTCGGAGTTCACAATCTATACGAGCTCGGATTGAAAAATCAGGGGGCGCCCCATCAGTCCCAGGCCCTTTGCCTGGGAGTCAAGACTTATAAGAATTCTGATTTAGTTCAACATCTGCAGGAGTTCTGATTTAAAAATCAGGGGTGCGCCATCAGTCCAAGGCCTTTTTCCGGAGTTCGAGATCTAAAAGAGTTCTGGTTTCAAAATCAGGGGTGCCCCACCAGTCCATGCTCAAGATCTACAAGGATTCTGATTGAAAATATTGGGCGCTCCATCAGTCCAAGGCCCTTTTGTCGGAGTTCAAGATCTATAAGAGGTCTGATCTATCCCAGCACACTTTCAACGCAGTCATCGCAATCGGCGCCAAGAGCTCAGTCGGCGCAGGACAGCGCAATCGGCACCGTCGGAGCTTCGGCGCAATCGGCGCGTCCCCGTGCAATCGAAGCATTCCGGCGAACTGGCCGATTCAAGCTCATGGCCAGCTTAGGCCACCGAGCCCTTTTGCAGCGCGTGCGGGCTCAGGGGCCGAAGCTGGTCATGAGCTTGAATGCGGCCAGTGTGCTGGAATGCTTCGATTGCACGGAAAGGCGCCGATTTCGCCGAAGATCGCCGAACCTCCATCGGCGCCGATTGCGCTGTCCTGCGCCGATGGTGTGAGTAAGAGGTTTAGTGTTGCGCTTCGGGGCATCAGCGGAGTATAGAGCTTTAAACAGCTGCAAGGCAGTGATTTGGGGGCGTTGGGGTTTCGGGTTGACGGGTTGAAATATGAGTTTGAGTGTTCAGGTGTACGGCGGAGTAGAGAGTGTTATAACACGCATGCGTGCCGCCGAGACGAACAAAGCGGCGTCGTAAGGCCATGTGGCGTCAAAAAGTGGCGTCACGAAGCAGGGGACGTCGCGACGACACGTGGCGTCACGACGACACGTGACGTCACAACAAGACATGTGACCTCGCGACGACACATGGCGTCACGAAAACACTATATCTGGCGTCAAAATGTGGCATCACTGGCGTCGGTGGCGTCAGTCAGCCTGCAGGCGTCGCCGGATGTGTCGTCAGGGCAAATGTGGCGTCACTGGCGTCGGTGGCGTCAGTCAGCCTGCAGGCGTCGCCGGATGTGTCGTCAGGACGTGGCGTCATGAAGCCCTGCAGGGCGTCACGAAGGCAGCTGGCGTCACACGGACGTGGCGTCAAAACGTGGCGTCAGCAGCTCACGTGGCGTCACGGACCCACGTGTCTTCAAAAAACCTGGCGCCACCAGGCGCTGCGCAGATACGCGGCGTCACGGGACGTGGCGTCAGTACGGTCGGGGTTTTCGAAGGATGTGTCGTCAGAATGTGTCTTCAGGCGCCGGGCGAAATTCGCACCCCCGCTGGCGACCGCCCTGTTTGATTCAATTCAGCTTCCTTCTTAAAGCTCCTTTGGCCACCCGTGGCTTTTTCAGAAGAAGCGGGGGAACATGAGAAAGCCCGGATTGCAGGCAACATGGAGCGGGACGTAGAGTGCTGCGGTGGAGTTTGCAGGGGATGTTAAATTGTAGATTGGAGTGGTCATGGGGTCGGGTTCTCGTTTGCAGATTCACAGAGATTTCGGCCCCGAAAGTCCCGACATGGGGGCGTTCCTGTTCAGGTGGGGGTCCTTGGCCGGGGCCGGACCCTCACGCCCCATGCGAAAGAAAAAGCCGTGTCTGGGAGGGGGGGGCCTTTTTCCCCTTTTGTCTTTGCCCGCTGGTTTTGGGGAGCTCACACCATTCCTATTCCAGACTGCAGGCTCAACCAACAGCCTCGAAGTGCTCTCATGAACACATTACGTGAGCAGTGGTCGGTGGCTTGAGGGCCCGGTGCCCTAAGCCTCATGCAGGAAAGGTAGGAAGAGGAGAAACAGGGGGCAGGGGGAGGAGGGTAGGGCAGGAGGCAAGAGAGAAAATCGAGATTCATTTTCTGAACGGCTCAGGAGACAGAGGATGAGTCCAAGCTCAGCGAGAGGGAGATAGCCAAGAAGAAATGGGTGACTTGGCGAAAGCTGTGACACCGTTCGAAGAACCGCGTTGCATTTCAAGCCTGACAGTTCACAACGTGCAGCAGGCAAGCTTGAACTGCGACAAAAGCACACGATACTGCCAAAAACAGTTTATGCCGACTCCAGGATTTAGATAGGTATGGCTCTATATTACTCTATACGTACAGGTGTAGCATGTTGAAGGCTGTTATTGTGGCACAGGTTCGGAGATTGAGATGGGCATGGCGAAAGCTGACAGCGGCATTTTGGGTCTCGCTGGCCTGCTTCACCATCTACTACACCAACTTCTTCCGCCCGCTGGATGCAGCCGATTAAATCAAACATCCGGAACACTTCCAAACAAGTTCAGGGTCGGTGGGCTTTTGTGTTCCGAAGCCCAAGATCGGGACTCGCCTGTTTTCAGGAGAAGAAGGGAGAGAGTGGAGCGGCAGCTGAGTGGTGTGTACTCCTGTTTTCCCAGGCGCTGATTTTCTGCCGCCTGCTGAGTACACTCGTAGAGCCCTTTTGGCCTGTTCCGAGGCAGCGGCAGCAACCTCTGAATCCAGATTCGTTAGCATTAACTACCAGCCATAACTGTTGCCCTGCACCTTTTGAACCTCTGAAGCTTCTGAGCTGTCAGCATTGCCCGACAGATTAAAGCTTTCCCCCAGAGTTCTCGCAGTCACAAGGTTACCATGAACCTTACGACCACTGCTGAGGTGTCATGTGGGAGTCCCCTTTGGTGAACCGTACCTATTTCTACCTTGCCTTCGCTTGCCTGGCCTTCAATATGCTTCTTGGCCGGGTTGCTGAAGTTGGGCCAGCGGTCTGCAAATGTTTCGAACCTTCCGAAATTGTTCGGTGCTTGCTTATCAAGTGGAAGGCGCTGGTGTGTGGATTCTTTATAATGATTCTACTGCCGCAGACACTTGCAGGGTCTTATTAAACTCCTATAGAGATACACCAAATCCAGATGCAGTCCTTCCCTAGCTTTGTTTCAGGTCCATGCTGGGGTACCTCGCGCTTTGGTGCACGGTCGTGCTGAAGATCGAGGAGCCGTGGGAGACTAAACATCCGAAGGCTATCCCCGTGATGGCCATCGTTGGCTTTTCCACCGCCCATTACCCAGAATCGGTTCCTTAGGCGGGGAGCAGCCATGCCAAAATAGTGCATGAGTTCTAGAGTCCACTTTGGAATGTTGAATCTGAGATATTCGGGGACGAAGAGACGCAGCGAGATTGTGGGTTTTGTTGTGCATGCTTTGGGTGCATCATAGCTGTAGTTCAGGGAGTCCGAAATCAAGTCCTGAGGCCTGCGAAGGAAGGCCACATGTGTGCGAGGGCCGCTACACGAGAGGACAGGGGCAGGTCCAGGCATACGTTCAAATATTGTATACACATACACAGATCAATCTATCAGCCAATGAACTATCCATTCGTCCGTCCTTCCAGCCGCACATCCAGCCAGCCAGCCAGCCATCCATGATCCATGCATCCATGCATCCATCCATCGATCTATCTATTCCCATAGTCTTGCTTCTGTTGATCTGCTTCTTGGTCTTGTCTACTTAATCTCTCAAGACTGCTTCAATCATATCCACATATTCGTTGCGATGTCGCTGCCGTTCCTTCGATGTTGGTCATGGGTCTACTCGTACGGGTTCCTTCCTGACCTGGTCATTTCTTTGTGTATCGCGCTTTGCGTGTCCTTTTCTTGCTGCCTCGTCCTGGACGCAGCTGTAAGATGACAATACAAAGGCAGATAGCTGATAACAGAATACATCTGCCAGCACGTGGACACTCCGAGTCTGAGATCGTCTTGGCGAGACAGGGCTTTTACGTCGTCAGAACCATGGAAAGACTGCTCCTTGCGCCGAGGTTTGGCTATTCTTCTTTGCGTTTTGGCCTGTCTGGGGCCTCCTGACGCTGGTCATCCAACTCATTTTCTTCCTGGGCTTTGTGAGCGCAGGTGCCCGAGAGTCGTTTGCTTGAAGCTGCGGAGTCGTGCTTTGCTCTCATATGCCCACTTGTCGTCCCGTCGTCGAAAGCCGTGTTGTGCTTTGCATGTGCCATCTGTTGCTGGGTTGGCCCCCCGCCTGGTCGTGCAGGTCAGTTCCTTCCCAGCGGGACGTTCCTTGGCTCAGTTCCTGGCCCTACGGTTTAGGCCACCACAGCGCTAGTAGCATCTTCTGGATACCAATTGAATCAGCCAGAAAATGCGGCTTCAGGGTCCAGGAAGCATGCAGCTTCCACTGCCTATCTGACCCCAAATTTGAAAGCCGTGTAAGCTCTCAGACGGCAGAGAGGCCCGGAGCTGTCCTCATGTTCGTGATCTTCTTCGGAGCTTTCTTCACATCAGAGCTCATCCCTCATGCCACCCGGTCGTGATTAGGGGTGTTTCTGCAAGAAGTTCAAGCTTGCCATCGGATACCATCGATATTGCTCGGTTATCTGGCCAAAGCTTTCACGCGGGCTGGGAAGAACCTAGGCTCAGGCCGTGCCCAGTCAAGCCTGTTGACTGGCAATGTTTTAGGCTAAACTTGCGTAATTAAAGCATTGCCCGGCTCTGGCGGAGGTGTTCGGCGCAACATACTTCGCAGAAGAAGCGGAAGACGCCCTCTACTCAAAAAAAGCCAACCTCCCAGCCAATCCCCCAAAAGGTGTTGCGAAGAGGGCTTTCAAAGTCAATCTCCAGCAGTAACGGCTTTAGGATGCTCGAGGGCGGTTCCTTCGAGCTTGAAGCACGGAGGCACACCACTCAAAGATAGCCTTGCTTCGGGGGGAATGAGCTTAGATCTTGCTGTTTGCTGCAGGCTCCACCTCGAAGCTTTATATTTGCTAGTGACCAACCAAGGCACAGCCTTATACCAAGCGGAACTACTCATTGTTATGGTGCGTTATCGTACGATACAGCATATCAGTATAGGACATGATAGCTGGCCGAGGAGGGACTGGCACACTACACACCTGGTCCGAGCTCGTCGCGGTGAAGTACTGAGAGACACCGGGCTTTTGCTTTGCCGAAGCCGTGAGCGCAAGTCTTGAGGGGCTGTGCATGGGTCCGGAGACTTCAAGATGTAGGATTTACCGCTGTGTCTTGCCGGCAACGGCCAGCTAACAGACACCCATCGTTGCAGAGCATTGGAATAGAAGGTTCATCTAAGTCGTTGGTCGAAAGTGAGGTCTGCAGCGGCTGGGGAGACAGTCCAAGCATTGAAGGTTTTTGCACAAAAACTTTCCTTTTCCCAAGCAAGAAACACTACACTGTCACGCGAAGCTGTCTTGAGAAGCAGCGCTTCAGTAGGCTCGAATCTTGCTGCTCAGACCGATGTTGGCACTTCAGGCCATTCGCTGCTGTCGGCTAGAGGGAGCGACAAGCACGAGACCGAGTGCTGACAATTTCTGGCGCCATACGCACGGCACTAAAGTTCTCGGGCAAACAAGAACACGTAATTCAACACATACTATCAGAAGCTGCATCAGTGGCATCATCGCCATCATCACTGTCATCCATCATCATCAACAACATCACCATCAGTAACCGCAACCACCACCACCACCACAACATGGATGAACAGAGCAGTGGCACTGAAAGGCAGCGGCAGTAGTAGTAGTAGTAGTAGTAGTAGTAGTAGTAGGACCAACGAGAGTAGGAGCTCGAGCAGTAGTAGTAGTCGTGGTAGTGGTCATAGCCGTATTAGTACCAGCAGAAATAAAATACATCTGCTGGATAAGAAATGCCAGCTCCCAGCGTTGGGTACCCTTCATATCTTAACTTCCTTTAGTTGCACATGTCCACATGTCCCAGCTCCCGAATCGTTGGGTACCCTTCATTCCTTGCTGATTTCTTAGCCGGGGCTCGAGCTCATGGAAGTCTAGATACTGAGCCACAGGCTTTTTGCTATTAGGTTAGACAGACACCGCCCAAGACCGTACTCTACTAATCTTCATTGTTTAGATGCAACTGCCAGCACTTGCGTGCCCTAGGCCACGGGCCTCGAAACCACTAACACGAGAAACATAGCCCCCTACATGTCTTTTTCTGGCTTCTGCCCTGTGCCCTAGGCTTCGAGCCTGGAAACCACCAAAACAAGAGACGTAGCCCCCTACATTTCGTATTCTGGCTTCTGCCCTGTGCCCTCGGCTTATAGGATCACGATGATGCCTGGTCATGGTGTTCCGTAACATGTGTGATCACCTCCCGCAGACGAACTTATCTCACCCTACCGCTTGCGACAATGCAACCTGCATACTACGAGTGAGTACTACTGCCACTGCTGCTACTACTACTACGACGACTACCACGACTACTACTACGACGACTAC